AAGAAAACTATATAAAAATATTTTATCGATGGTACTTGACACCGGTAAAAATTAACAGAATTTATAATTCTGGAAATGAAAAGTGTTGGAAATGTAAAAAGACAGTTGGGACATTTTACCATCTATGGTGGGAGTGCAGAGAAGCTAACAAATTTTGGAAAACAACACAAAAGAAAAGTTCTGAAATCTTAAATATAGAAATACCATTACATCCAACATTTTTTCTCTTGAATATAACAAATTCGATTGAAACTAATGCAGAAAAAAACTATAAAAGACAACTACTATACAGAGCCACAACTGCTAGAATCATCTATGCAAAATATTGGAAAAAAGAAAAAAGCCCATCAGGAAAAGAATGGGAAGATAAAATGAGAGAAGCCATAGGACTAGATATGTTAACCGCATTAATGAAAGATAAGCCAAAAGAAGATATAGAAAAGGATTGGCAACCGTTTAGAGAATATTGGAAAATGGAAAGATTGATACTATGAATGGTAAATTCCAATGCACAGCGAACCTAACCAAGATAAATGAAAAAAAGATATGATTACAATGTAAAAGGCAAGATATGAAACAAATATGAAGTAAAAGTGAAATAAAAAGAGAATAGTTATTAAATCAGGGTTTCAAAAGAAAAAAAATCTTAAGATAATGGGTAAGATTAAGGAAGCCAAAACAACAGAATTGAAAAGGTTATAGTAACATAGGGCCTTTGCAGACTGCTAGAAATAGTGCAAATTGAGTCCACTTTAAGGGTTAGGGTTAGGGAATCGTGGGAACTGTATTTTATTGTGGCATCAGAGCTCTCTGACAGAGAAGGCTCAATGTCTCAGAAAAAAAAAATTCCCATGATTCCCTAGTACTAACCCTAACCCCAAAAGTGGACTCCATTTGCACTATTTCTGGCAGTCAGACATGTTTTTAATGGGTCTGTTCTACGATATGTATGTTATGCATGTTAAGCATGTATGTATATGTTATGTTTAAAGTATGTTTAAATAAAAATTAAAAACAACAACAAAAAACAAATAATAATAACAAAAACAACAAAAACAACATTTGTCTGGAATCAGCTGGCTGGCAGTACCCCCCCCCTTCCAGTGTTTGAAAACCACTGCTTTAAAGAGCAGCAGCAGCTAGAATCATAGAATCATAGAATCATAGAGTTGGAAGATGTCCTAAAGGGCATCCAGTCCAACCCCCCCTGCCATGCAGGAACTCCCAATCAAAGCATTCCCAACAGATGGCCATCCAACCTTTGCTTAAAGACCTCCAAAGAAGAAGACTCCACCACTCTCCAAAGGAGTGTCTTACACTGGCAAAAGTTCCTCCTAATGTTTAGGTGAAATTTCTTTTCCTGTAGCCTGCATCCGTTGTTTCATGTCCTGTTCTCTGGAGCAGCAGAAAAAAAGCTTGCTTTATCTTCAGTATGACATCCTTTCAAATATTTAAACAGGGCTATCATATCACCTCTTAACCTTCTCTTCTCCAGGCTGAACATACCCAGCTCCCTGCATAGGGCTTGATGGTTTCCAGACCCTTCACAATTTTGGTTGTCCTCCTTTGGACATGGTCTAGCTTCTCAAGCTCCTTTTTGAATTGTGATGCCCAGAACTGGACACTGGATTATTCCAGGTGAGGCCTGACCAAAGCAGAATAGAGTTTAGTTAGTCTGTGTAGTCTCTTTGGGGATGTGACTGTTTTGGACCACATCTCCCAGAATATCCCCAGCCAGCCTGGGCATTCTGGGAGATGTAGTCTAGCAAGCTTTGCTTCCTATCGTTTGCTGTGCATGGCTGCAGCAAGTCATGCCCAAACAGGTGTCACCCTCACCTGAGCCGCCTCCACCTGCTGACGTCAGCCAGGTATTCTCTCTCTCCTCTCCTGGCTGGCTCAGCTGGGGATTTCCTTGGTGCTGATGGTATCTATCTCTACCTTTT